TCTGTGTAACTTTGACATACTTTTCATTTTTTTACTTTTTGGCTATCATATTAACTTTATATCAAAAGCAAATCTAAATATAAATATTGTAAATAAGTAAATAAATTAACAAATAAATCTATTAAAATATAATACAAAATATCTATAAAAAATATAAAACACAATATTTATATTTTAAAGCAAGTTTAATAAGTATTTTATATACTTGAAGTACTTTCCTTTGGAAAAAAAAAATATAAAGATTATAAATAAATTAAAAAAAAAACTACTATAATATTTCTGGATGGTTAAATAATAACAACATTTGCATAAGTCAAAGGTTGAAAGTTCACATTAGAGGTCAAATGTTAAATGTTAGCAACATACCAAGAAAATTCTCAACAGTATGTTTTTTTATTTTGCTTGACGCTCCTAACCACAATGTCATAAAGTACCACCAATTATTTTTCTATATTCAGCTATCATAACACAAGAATCACTGACCTCCCTATGACTTCTAGGCATCATAATCCACATTTTTTTGTGACATGTACAAAAATGATCATTTAAATAGTAATAATTCTCTGAACATTTGAGAATGCAAATACAAATGTTAACAGTGACATAGATTCTTATTTCATAAATCATAATCCTAAATATTCATATTTTCATTTCTAAATGTTAGGGGGAAAATATAGTGAATTTATGACTGATTTAGCGAAAATGGATCCACATGTGCCTGGGGGATAAAACCGGAAATCCCTGCTATTTGCAATCATGCATTCAATTGGCATTGCATGTTTTATTTTTAGCGATAAATAATTCAGAGAGATTATTCAGATTTGAACTAGATATAAACCAAAGACTACAAACAACTAAAATAATTATGAGATGGGATTAAAATGGTGTCTCCCATTCCCTTATCAATATTAAAAAGATAAACCAAGTTAAGATAATTTAAATGGTTTTAATTTTTATTTATATTTAAGTATTAAAGTGTTTAATTGAAAATTAAAATTTTTTATTCAAAGTCAGGCTCTGGAGGGAAAAAAATTGTTATGTTGTACAAATATTTTTGATGTTACAATCGGGAATGGCTAAGATACAGATTTTCCTTTTCCTCTTAGCTAGGTTTTAAATATTCAAAAATTTGTACTTTATTAGCCGTTCCTGATTACAGGATTTTTTAAAATGCCCTTTAGGTGTCTTAGAAAATTCATTACATCTTGTCAACAAATACTTTTCCTTTATTTTTTTCATTAGTTTTTTTTTTTGTGTGATCTACTAGTGAAATAGTGTTCTGTTACTGAACATGCAGAAACCAGTAAAACGAGAAGTAGTAATGAGTTTGTAAATTAGCAAAAACTGAATTCTTTTTATCTGTTTATCATTGCTAAGTTTTATATAATATTTTACAGGAGTAATTCAAATTACTGTACTGTATACAATGACAGGGAAATACATTTATAACTTTTATTGTCTATCTTCCACCAATCAGCAGTAAATTTTGCATTCCAATCATATATAAATATTTCCGTTTGGGCTGCAGATAATATTCTCATGATGACGATTGAAGCAACTCATTCGAATACATCGAGATATTCTTAACAAAAACAATCAGTTGTTTTCAGAACTATCTATGTGGTGTACCGCAAGAATTAAATATATTTTACTGTCTAATTTAGGATACAAAATTTGTGTATATTCAGTAAACCCTTTGAAAAGAGTAGGGGGGTACCCCAGTGTACTGGTCCATTTCATCCCCCTGTTCAGCCACAGAAGCGGCCCATGTCAGGTATCCTACCAGCGAATCCTTCTAGAACACTTCGCAAGCAAGATCATACACACTAGCTAAGTAGTGATTCGAGAAAAAGAAGCTGGGTATCGAATCAGGTTGCCTTGCAATACAACATACAGTAATACTTGTTTAGTTTCTTGGTGTTTGAGTGAAAGTTAGTTCACTCAAACACAACAGTACAATTACCTGATAACATATTATTTATTGATTGTGAACACACGACTATAGGTTGTTGGTTTTGTCTCTTTCGGAGCTAAATGATGAGCAACGAAATTGACTACAGATTGTCGGATCGATTATCGCACATTATCATCTTGGATTAAAGTACGACGACAGGCAGGTAATTTAAAACAGGATGCTCGGCTCATCAATAAGAAACAGTACCTCTGTCTGAATCTTTCAATTTATAAAACGTTACGTCAAGGATAAGCTACCGCTGATGTGTATTCTAATACTTTGTGAAAGGTAATAAAGAGATTTTACGAAAACATCCTTCATATTCTTACCAATTTGTAAGAAAAAATTTGATCCATATTACAAAACATAACATATTTATGGAGTCATTAAGTACTATGCCTGAGGTTAGGGCTACTGGCTACTGTTTATGATTAGCAAACATAACAATTATATTTTTTTTCATGTTGTTATTATATTAAAGATAAATGTTAAAATAATAGAATATGAAACATAATTATTATATGTAAAATAGAAATTAGTTTTATGGAATAATAAAAGATGTTTTCCTCTAATTTCAGTGTTCAATATTATTTCTTACAATTAAAAACAAATCTACTCTCTACACCAAGAAGTCTTAGTTTCATAAAGCATTATGGGCCTTCTCCATTCTTTACATATAATTTGTTAATAAAACTGGAGTATTTTGAGATGCAGAACTGCGTTACTGAAAATGTTATCTAGTCAAAAGAATAAATTATGTTTGGCAATATAAAGTGCCGATTTATAGAAAGTCATGAGAGCGTTTCACATCATTTACCCGCCAATGGATACAGTAAATTGAGGCTTGTTCCGTAAACATGAGGCTTGTTCCGTAAACATGCAACCTCTTCCCCTCCCCTGGGGAGCATTCCCCAGGGGAATATTCATCACAGGAAAAATCCATTCAACATCGGGTATTTGCATTATTTTAGGTACTCATCTGTACTCTTGGGTTGAGAAAGATGAATGTACTATAAATGGATAGTGGAAATCTAAGAAAATCCTATCTCTTTATAATTGGTTATGAATCGAATTTTCAAGATAAAAAACATATTTCAACTTCACACAGTCCAAGGTTGTCAACACGTCACCAATTCCCAGATCACAATTGGAAATGGAAAAGTTTCTTTTAGTGTTGTAGCAAACTGTAGTTAGGACAATAAATTTGTTAAATAAAATTAAATTGAGGGTCATCTAACAGTTTGACAAAATGTCAATCTTATTCAGCATTTAATAAAATTAAGAATGTTCTTTATAGCATTCTAGATTCGGTATTGTTTACTGCCAAAGAAAGGCTCTCCGGGGCACCAATAAAAAACTATTCTCTTTCATGGGGAAGCATCACGAATGTAGGATAAAATCCACCCGGCAAAAAACCCACTCAAAATGGACTATACCATTGTTAAAGTGGGGTGGGTTGTGGGGTGGATAATGTTGGGTGGGCCTGTTTTTATCTAGCTTTACAATAGGATAGTTTACACTGCGACTTCCTATTATACACCATTTTCGCCAAATTTTAAATGAAAATTTCCGATAACCTGGCAACTGGGGGACTTCCAAAGGCCTAGCATTTTACTTTACGTAGATACTATCATGGAATAAGTAAACGATAAAACTTGCTAATGATCATGAATATTTTAAAATGAAATGTTTATATTAAAAACAAGTTTAAGTCTTAAAGAGCTATTTCAATGTTTATATATACAGTAATTAACATGATCGTATGTGTTGTCTACTGCTGCTACAGCAAAGGTCTAGCGGTGCTGTATTCGTAACTAACCAGCTGCTCAGACTTAGACCACTGGATTCTCCCAGTGAGTTGTGGGACGTTGGTGGTGCTGTTTCAAAATAATCCCGATAAAATGGTCTAGATGCCTTGAATTCATTCAACTCTTTTGACAAAATGCATGTACTGTAGATTAATAAGCATTGTAGATTTCAGCAATCAATTTGCTTAAAGAAAGTTTGCAATTTAAAAAAAAAAAGATTTTTAAACTGTATACAAAAGGCCACTCAACATTGTGTACCCCACTGACAACCCCACTTTAACAAATGATATTCCATTTTGGGTGGTTTCTGTCTGGGTGGTTATTGTCCAGGATGGTTTTTGTCCTACATTTGTGATGCTTCCCCTGGGTAGGATGCTGTTCCATTGTAGGTTACTCCCAGAAATTTGCTGGTACCAATTGATAGAGCTGGGTAGACTGAAGCATTGTAGATAAAGTGCCTTGCCCAACGACACAAGTGAAATGCACAGTGATGGATTAAATCCCGAACCTTGAGGTTGGGAAACCAAACCATTTCCACTACGCCAAACCCGCCATATCAGTAGATATTTCACGTACCTGATGATGGGCTATACATAAAACATGTAAAAAAAAATCTCACTGACACAGATTTTAACCTGTTTGATAGATACAGTATTTATGATGCATTAATAACAATCTCTAATGTATATTTATAGGCCTTTCATTCATCTGTGTACTTGTACTTTTTGTTTCCAATTAGATATAATTTCTTTTCGTTTCTGCTTTGTTCATTTTTTTTTTGGATATACCATTAGGTATTTTTTAAGATTTGTGACACTGTTGCAAAAGTGATATCCAATAAATATTATATTATTTTTATATTATACTATTAGCAGACACACATCCAAAGTGCTTTGCCTGAAGATACAATTAATCAAACTCTGATTACTTAGTTGTGTACTTAATTGCAAATTCTACGTTAATTGCTCCCACAATAATAGTTTGGAATAAATTATTGGATAAGAGTACATTTTATTGTTATTATTAATCTTTCTTGAAATTGGTTTATCAAGATGGCAAAATCTTTGTATACCAGTTAGTTTGGCAGTAAATAAAGTAAATAAATAAAACAAGATTTCATAATAATAAATTGTTTCTTAAAAATATATCAAAAAAACCAATGGTTAAAATATAGATAAATAAAATCACATTTAAAATGTGTACAACACTGAGACTTTGATTATTTTTTAGATACATACTTTATAGATGATACTGGATTTGATCGTCTTGAATTCCTTTCTGTCGCCGTCATATAATCCCACCGGAAGACTAGGTTCCAATCAAAACCGCCTTTTAGATCAGCGGATGCTGCGACATACTGAAACGTGTCCATGTTTATGACATCAATAATTGGGCTAACAACAGCTTTCCAGTCCTAAAAATAGAAAGATCATAGCACATTTAAAACATATGTTACTATACAAAGAGTTCAAAACAAATACTTCACGGACAGGTGTTAACAGTGTGAAAATGGTTGACCCCCACAAGAAACGTACGTTTAAATAATTTTCGCATTATACAGCATATGAACACATTAACATACTGTATAAATTAATAATAAAATAATAACAATAAATACAGCAGCAATAGGAACGACAATAACAAAATCAATAATAATAATGCTAGAGGAATTCCATGGGTTTTCAATTGTTTATTTTAGTAAATATATAACTAAAATTGCCTATAACCTGATTGATTGGACACTACCATCAGTAGTATCAGTATGACTGTATGCGGTGTGGAAATGTTTTGATACTTCTTTCAATTAACTGTTAAAATTCAAATGAAAGAGGGAAAATTTTTTTTTTATATGTTGTACAACTGATTATTGTAAGACACAAAAAAAGGTGTTTGATCCAAAAGTTGGGACCGGTTAAGAACAAGATACAGATTTTTGAATATCTAAAAACTGGGGGAAAAGGATCGTAACCACCCTTTTTTCCACCATTGTCCCCCCAGATCTTAAATATTCAAAAATCTGTATCTCATTAACCCTTTCAGAGTTTTTCGTCAAACATCCTTTTTACGTCTTAGAAAAAGCAGTTGCAGAACATATAAAAACATTTTCCCCCTCAGAAGCTTAGCTTTACAGCAAATTTTGATTTTATTTAAGTAACAAATTTAATGAAATGTATTGATTGAAGGTTTTGCATGGTGAAGTAATAATATATTTTAATACTTATGGTACACTATTTGTATACCTAGAAACATGAATACCAATAAAATTTAACTACATGGTGTACCTCAAGTATTAATGTATACTAATGAAATGTTGACCTTAAATGCTGCATATTCATTACATTACTCATTGGGGAAACATCATTATAAGAACCTAATAATACTAATGTGCATAGAAAAAGTGTATACATAGAAACATGAATACTGATAAAATTTAATAACTAGTCGATAATTCTGCATGTTGATGCACTTTTAATACAAAACATGGATTTATTTTTATTTTGTTTCTTGTTGCATTAATTTATATAATGCATACTGAGGGAATTGCTTAATATGCAATATAAATAGGGAGCATTTTATTACTATTATTTATTACTGTATGCACATAACATACTGTAAATCATGTTAAAAATAGCATTTGTTAAGCGAATTCAAGAAACACACAGCATATATTAATACAAGCCAAACAAAAATAGTTCCGTATCCATCACACAAAATAAGTTTAAGTAAATGTGAAACAAATTAATTAGAAGATTAATGCAACCTAGGGATATTCCCATTCCTATGTACTGAACATACACCCAATCCCACCAACCGCCACACAATTTTAATATTAACACCTCTACTGCACTTCCTCACATATCTCAAAATAATTTATTTAAAATTTTAAACATTCTATAACAACAGATGCTTTTCAAGTTAGTGGTTTCCAGGCATCAATCATTTATTTAATTACTTTTCAGGATTTTGAAATTATGATTATTAAGTCAGCCTCCGGAGGAAAAAAAAATGTTGATATGTATTAGAACTGATTTTTCTAAGACAGAAAAATGTTGTTTGATGAAAAACTGGGGAACGGTGAACAAGATACAGATTTTTGAATATTTAAAAACTGGGGGAAAAAGTATATCTTTACACCTTTTTACCCCAGTTTTTTAATTTTCAAAAAAAAGATTTTTGAATATTTAAAAACTATGGGAAAAGTATATTTTTACACCTTTTTACCCCAATTTTTTAATATTCAAAAATCTGTATCTCATTCACCGTTGCTCAGTTTTTGATCAAACTACTTTTTTCTGTGTTAGAAAAATCAGTTCTACAACATATCAAAAAAATGTTTTTCCTCTGGAGCCTGACTTTAAAAGAGCTGATAAATTTGCTGTGAGAAATCACAGTGTGAAAGACAGGCAGGAATAAAGATGGAAACACACAGTGTTCATCCCTGGCAAAGGCAAGCACTACAGTTTACAAAGACAACAAAATACTTAAAGGTGACACTTTAAATAAACATACTTTCCTTTCATTAAGGTTTTAATGAAATTAAAATTCATAGCTAGTATTAATGACAAACTCGATGTGAGCTTCACTCCTCCACGATAATCCAGAGCTTCTCTCGCGTGTTCTCTCTAAAAGCTTTTACTACGTGTCAACGAATTCCATGAATAACTCGTTGTGTAGACATTCTAAGTTTAATAATCTATATAAACTATTGTAAATTATATGTAATACTTAAAGATGACATTTATATTGGAGATAAATTTACAAACTTAGGGAGCTCAGTAACCAAGTACTGTACATGAAAGCTAATTTGCATGATGTGTTTAATATATAAATCCAATATTATAAAATTACCATATGAAATCCATTAAATATATTTTGGATTAATTAGATTCTTACAGTAGTGCGAGATATACCAAGAATACCCCATGAATGTCAGAAGATTCAATTCCAGGGAGGTACTCCTTCTGGTCATGAATAGACACATTCCGCCAGGTTGGTCACATGACGTAATAGTGGGCATCAATTATGAACTTGCAGTGCAAGCGACGCTCGGTATAGGAAAACGCGCAACTTCTTCGGAGACTTTGTCCTGCAAAGCACATATTTGATGTTGAATAATGTTGGTTGGAATGCCATTAACTATACCAAATTGATTGATATGGTTAACACTGTACTTTAACACTGATTGCACTGTAAATTCTCCATAGTAATTCCCACTATATGTCACGTGACTCGCAGTAAACACACCTTGCGGAATGTGACTATTGAGCAGTAACCTGGAGACAATCTCCTATTCTTTTCTGAAGAGTTTACGACATTTCTTTAACATCCACATGGGCCATATTGCACACAAGACCAACAGCTTAAACGTTACTGTAAATAATAATAATAATAAAAAACCGTGGCTTATTGACACTAGTATATCAATCCTACACCTGAGACGCAAGGACAGCAGCAGATACAATTTGAATCGGGGACCAACGTTCTTTATGTTTTAACACACACAGAGTTTTTGATGTGTCGAGTAGCTGAGCGGTAAGCCAGATGTCGTTAAAATACAACCTTCACATCGGCACTGATTTGAGCTGCAACTCACTCAGGGTTCGGTTAGTAAAACCATGGAGAAGATCATTCATAATATTGAGAAGATCATTCAAAAAAGCTCCGCGCACGCATCGCTATGCAAATGCGCCAAGAACAAAGTTACTGCAGCGCGTGAAGAACGATTGCACGATGCCTTTGAAGTCTAATGTGTTCCCCGCCACCAAGATGCTCAGCAGGCATAGATTATCATTGAACATGCCGAAATAGAGAGCACCTTCTTTTCTCAATGCGTACTACTTACAGTCAATCACTATGGCTGCGTAATCGTTTCCACCTTGAAGCTAATACATTTATCTTTCAAGAAATATCAAACATATTTAATGAATCATTTACATGAGCTTTAAAAGTATGGCATATTTTAACTTGAATTTCCATAAATTAGATAAAACTCGATAATTCTAATTTTAAATAAATTTTTAAGTTATTTTAGTGTGAACAAGTGTGGACTATTCAAAAATTCAAGCCAAATCACAGTAATTTTCAGTTTTGCGCTGCATTGGTTTATAGTTAAACCAAGCGATCGTTAGACAAAATTATAATGAACACAGAAGTAATTTAACAAAAATATTTTGTGGAATCTGTTATCTGGAATATACACACAATAACATACTAAAAGTCCGAAAAAATTCAATCAGGGGAGCCTTGTTAATCTTAAAGATATTTAATGAGTTAATATCAAACAGTTTATCACACAACTGCTGTGTTGAAGCGTATAACAGCCTGTTGTTGCCATGTTGTTGCTAACGAAAAAATGTTGATAACAAGATAGACGCCCGCGTGCGATGCAAAAGCGGGGAACACATTGGTTTGTTGGGTCAAAGGGATCTGTTGGCAAGTGATCTCCTTCTCAATAATACCTCCATGGTAGAACCAAGTCTTCTTGGAAAAAGACTCAAAATAGAAGGTCCAGTGTACCCATCTGGCTTGTGATCAAAAAACCTATAGCATTTTTCGGAAAAAGTAGGGGATTAGGGGGTTGCCTTTAACTTAACTGACTGAGCTATGCTTCTCTCTCATGCGAGTCCGATTATAAACAGTAAGATAAGATGATACTATAATAACTCTATTGGTCAAAATTTTTCTATTATCACACCAATGACTACACTGGTATTCATATTTAATGGACGTCAAGCTAATATCCGTATATTAATTCACAAATTGCTTCATTCATAATTCAATTACATAACATTCTGTAATTACAGTATCTATAGTATTATATTATATGCGGTAAACATTGACTCAAAGGTGTTAAAACTGTACCTACGCACTAAAGCATCCCTAACACCCAATTAATATAATATATTCCAAAATTGATTAAATTCCCGAGGATGTGTGCAAAAACATAACATTCTAACAATACCAAACTTAGTGGAAAGGTTCATACATCGGACAATGCAGCCCAATGCAATTTGTTTTCGCGTCGGTCCTGTGCCGGGGAGGGTCGTATTAAAGACTATTACTGCAAACATGTTTAATATTGTAACATGCTGATGAAATCCATAGTCAATTAATTTCATTACAGCATAATTGAATTTGCGACTTGCATATGATTAACATAGCCAGTGTTTTTACGTTGCATGTGTAGCGTAAACTGTTACACGTTGTCAGTTTATCTTGGGAAGTCGGGAACCTCAGAAGCCAGTACAATATGGTTACAGCTTAAATTTCCATTGGGAAATGATAGGGTATGCAGTTAGCAACCCATGTAGGAAGTAGGCCCTGTGATAGATAGAGGAATGGCGAAGTTCGTGAAACCGTCGCACACGGTTTCAAGTGTTGAGTGGAACTAGACGTTCTACAGTACCCTTAAATTCATATTGATACTAAAGTATAACCACAAGAAATCTACTCATATCTGCAAAATAGTCCTGTACTGCAACATTTAGGGAGCTTTCGATTCCATGACGACGGTAGGACGTAGAACGCAATGACGTCACTAAAAGTCATCTGCGCATGCGAGAACATTCGAGCAGGTTCTGGGAACATAATTTGGCCAAATCTACGTATGCAGAGAACGTAGGACGCCTGGTAGGATGGTCACGCATGAATGATTCCGCTCTAGCGTCGCGTCGTCGCGCAAATCGGAAGCTCCCGATTAGTAGACAGATGGTGTTAATCTTACCTGAGTAATAACAAAACACTAAGGCAAGAATTGCATCCTAACACTGTTGTCAAATTTGCATCTAATGCACAATTCACGTGGGATTTAATATTAGTAACTGAATAGTGTTAAACTACTAACAAAACACTAAGGCAAGGGCTTCATTTTAACACACTGTCATCTAACTAGTACCAAGTCACCAGGGAGATAAAATTAGTAGATGGAAGGTGTTAAACTGATGCTGGAGGGGCAATCAAGCAAAAACGAAGGTGTTAATAGTATACAGACGATAGACTGTCTGTGTACAATGTGAACACAGGACGGATATCATGGGCATAATTTAGACATTCTGCAAACAACATTCTATTTATATGAAGCGAATAAACTTATTAATAGCTCTCTCATGAGCTGAAGACATAATTAATATTTGGCTCATTCATCAATAGCTTGGTCCACCTACAGTATGCATTAGGTCTACTAGCAGCTCCTTCTGTTTTTGATATCCATTTGATACTCCACTCTCGTCTCTTTATATGCCTATACCATCTTAAGCTGGTTTCCCACTAGGCGAATCAGAAGCGTCGGTTTCGGTTTAGTTGCACACATTTTTTGCTTTGCAAAAAGTAGAAACTCATGATCTGCACTTTTTCATTTTTATCTCCTTAAAGTCGGGCACTCGCTGTGCCCGACTGTCGTTGGCCAATGTAATTCTATGGAGAACGCAATGCCACCATGCGTGTGCAACTTATCGTTTTTAATGACGATCCATTCAAACTGCCACCGACGATCAGCGTCTGGCACTCACAGAGAGTGTAGTTAGATTTGACGGACAACTGTCGCAGTAAGTGCCAAGGCTTTACGTCTTACATTTGTCTCCTGAAGTTATCTCTTCAATATCACGTGATAATAATGTTATTATCAATAAGGGAATGGATATATTTAGTCAGTAAAACGCCTGTTTGTTACAGCATTTTCGTAATGATTTAATACAGACATACTTTAATCTTAAAGATATGCAAACTTGAGCTAAAGCTGGCAAAATAAACATTTTGTAACAATAACAATAATAGAATATTTTAAAATCTGGGTTTTTCAAATCTGCACTTACCTGCTGAACCTGTATAAGAAGTGGTTCGAGCCAATGTTGGTTACATTCACAATGACTATCAAGAAAAGTTAGAACTTCCGCCGAAGCATAGTCTGCTCCCCGAACACGAGACCGCATCAACCCTAGAGGGGGAAAAAAACCAAATTTTCTCTATTTACTTGAAATATATATGTGAGGTCTCACCACAAAATGAGACGCATCGTTGGTGAAATCATATTGAGATATTCACCAAAATAGGTCATAGGCAACATTTTTACAAAATTTTGATTTTAATGTTTTCGAATAACTTGATACTTATATTTTATGATTGTGTACTTTTTAAGTGAATTTTCTTACTAAAACAATATTCTGTAATTCTAGTCCTATTATTTGTACAGGTTAGTTTATCTTTGAGGCCGATTTTCTCAAAACCTGGTTCTCATTCACCTAAACTTTAAATGCTAACATCTCTGGATCTATCTATCCTAGAGAAGCCATTCAAAGACCAAATTAAAGCTTATAATGTGATATACCAAAATATAATAACTCATTTTTTGATTTTCTAACGATGAGACTCATTTTGTAGTGAGACCTCACATATAAAGAAAATAAACAAAACATCATGATTAAATTAACATTAAACCCTTGTGAATATATAAAATCCATTTAAAAAAATTAATTTCAGATATTCTATTTTAATGGAACTCTATACATATTTTCATACATATAAATATTTTTATGCATATATTTCTATACATATTTTCCATTCATGTTTAAGAGGCCAGACTAACTGCAGTACTATAGTAGAATAATTCATTCAAAATTTTGAAATAAAATTTATTTGCACTATGATATTTGATATCATATTGACATTTTACAATACTATGATTTATTATGACATTTTTAGTGGGCGGAATGTAAAACCTTATTTGCATTTATTATAATGTTATTTCGACGAAAAGCATCGTTGTTGATTCAAATGATCTCATACAAATCTATTAATCAAATTTACAACCACTTAATTTGATCTGATTAGGCACAAGGGCCAACGAAGCCCATTCGGCAAATAATCAGTCTTGTACTGTTATTCAAGATTACGCAAATACAACACGTTAACAAGACTGAATTAGATTTTTATTTTATTTGATGTAAAATTCATCAAGGATAACCCACTGAAGTCCCTAGCCTATTTCCAGTGTGGACATTCTAGTGGTAAACTGAACAATACAACAAGAGATGAATTCCCTTGCTCTTTTCTAAAGAGTGTACTGCGTTCTTAAATGTGGATGTGGCCATACATATTGAACACAGAACCAACAGTTTAAACGTCACATTCAAAAGATGGTGCGTAGTGGGAGGTACTCGATGATTAAGTAAGGGAATGCTACAGTAGGTCAAAAAAAAGGTAATATGAGTAGATTTTTAAGTACTTGAATTTAATTTTTTTTTGGTACAGGCATTTCAATGGGGATGATGTGGAGATGATGTGTGGGGAAAGCTTTTTATTTTGGGGTGGGGAAGGTGGGTATGCACAACTACTGGATACACCAAAGGAAATAATACCATTCTTATACTCTAGACATACCTTCTCTTCTTTCATTCCGTAAAACTACAACTTTTTCAATCTGTTGAAGCTGCTGACCATCCTGGGCTAAAAATATACAAAGATAATTAATGAATTTATTACATTTGATTTCGATCATCAGGGAAACATTATTTGATTAAGAGTAATAAAAATAATTACAAGTAATTATAATAATTCATTTATTTCCTCTAATTCACACTACAAAACATAGGAACAAGTACCTATGACAAAAATGTTTAGGTAATCTGCCAAATATTACATACTGTTGGTTTGGAACAAACAAAAAAAAAGTAAAAAATAATAGTTCTAAATTTCTATGGTTTAATCTTGCAAAAGAAAGGTAAAATTAACAACCAATGTTAATGGGTTATTTTGATTACTGTTCTTCAGTTGGTCACCAATGCTATCCTGTCATAATAGGTACGACTACTTTGTCATTGTATTATGTAAAAGCAATATATTGCTATAGGGAAAATTATACCCATTTTTTTTATTTGGTTCATTTTTGCACGGGAAACATAATAAAGAAATTAACTACTGTCAAAGCTTGCTTTACCGCATGCAACTGAAATACAATCTACCCGCATTTCATCTGTGTTTTCAAACAAGATTTTCTTTCTTTAACCTTCAACTTGACGGCAGATAGCATTACACATAAAGTATATTTATTTTCATAACGTTGCGAGCCACGCAACTAATTCGTGTTCATTAAAAACAGAATGTTGAGTGTTTCGAATACAATTTGACACATTCAATGAACAAACTCTATTTAATTTACATTCAGAATAACACCTTGCACAACTGCCAGTCAACTCGTTGGATATCATCGTTATTAATTTATAACTTTGACGACGAAACCGAGAAGCACTTTCCTTTGATGGTAAAGGTGAAATTGAATCGCCAATCAATAGAAGTGCTTCTTCCATAACATTCATTATTCGACATCAACTTTTGTACAGATACCTGTTAGTTTTACTGTGTTTAGTGAAAGATGTATTTTATGTCTTAAAATCGAGAAAAAAATTCTCAAATTTTAACAGATAATTTTATCTACTTTAATAGAAATTGGACTGCTTTCTGTAAAATACATTTTGAAGTTTTTGTTTGATATACAGTAATGCCTTTTGATGATTTAACATTTCATGGACTGAAGACTAAAAAAACACAAACCGGAAAGAAAGTGCATTTAGCTGAAAATTACCCAGACTGGTAAAACACAATAGATGTCTATGCTGGTTATAGATACCCAGATTTACACAAGTGACTTTGCCGACAAGGTTGACTGAATGTGGCTTTTCCCTCTTGTTTATATTATAAGAGATGCTTTTATTATGTTGTGTGCTTAAAAAGAACCAAAAGTCAACAGCCACTTGTTTGCTATTGGGCAAATCCTACAGTACCAGTTAGCCAGTGGCGGCACCAGCGGGGGGGGGGGGGGAGAGTATGCCCAACCCATCGGACAGGTCAAGCCACCACCCCCCACCAGTCAGAGCTTGTCGGGCAGTCGGACAAACAAAAAAAAATACACTAGTCCTAATGAAATGAAATGCATATTTATTGAGTTGAGTTTGAGAGTAGACAATTGTATTTTATCAATTTTACATTTAAAAGTAGTTTTCAAGTCTGAGAGTGCCATTTCCAGCCATCCAGAGGTCCCTGTTAAAAAAAAAAACTCATTACAGACCGGCTTGGTCAAAGGCCCTCAGATAGCAATGCGAGCTGAAGTTATCCTTATCCCACTCAGCCTGCCTCTCAGACAGCTTAATCCCCCACCCACCGAGAAAATATAATACACTGCAGTTAGCCACTGTGTGTTTCCAAGTGAACATTTCCCATGAAGAGTAAACAGACTTTAAAATCTTCCTGAGGGCATCCTACAACTCCCATTGCTGAACTTTCTCAGAATGATCCATGATTACATAAATTTATGTGACAAATTTATAGGATGTGCCCATATTTGGTCACTATGATGTCATATTACACCCAAATATATGATCCAGTATCAAGGGTCCAAAGACCAGTACTACCAACACCAGTACTGTAAATATGGGCATATCACAGTTATTTGTCAAATAAAATTTGATAGTGTGGACAGAGCTTTAACAATGCATGCATAAATGTAAATCCAAGTGTGAACAGAGGTCAAAATTGAATCCAATGTAAACATGGCATAAAAGTATGTAAATTTAAATAAGAGTTGACAAAATATATATTTAAAAAAAAAACAATTCCAAAATGCCACCCAAGATTATATAAATAGGAAATTGTGTTTAGTGGAAATCAGTTGTTTTGTAATTTTCAGCGAAAATACACTTTAAATATATTTCCTTTTAGTCTTCATGCCCTTAAAAAAAACCTATAACTGGGGATAAATGTCTTGATCTCAATTTAGCATATAAACCTACAAGTAATCTGTTTTCATAATGCTGGCAGGTATAAGTACTCTTATCATTTACAGTAAATTGGAAGCTAAGGTTTTTTTATTACATCAAATTATCATTTTGACTCGTATACATTTAAAGATATTCTGTCTTTTTTGAGCTCCCAAATTGTAAAAAATATAATATTTGAATTGTTAAGTTATTACCTTTTAATTGAAAATTAGTATGAGAAAATACTTTGTAACCAATTAAATGCACAAATTCTATATATTTATGTTGATTTAAGTATTTTTTAATTTTTACTTTTCATTTTTTTCTATATATTACTTGCATGCTGTATTAAACCTATCAAAATTGGTTGGTAAATGAATCTAAGGATTTTTGTAGTACAGTAGTCCGTTAATAAGCCATAATGTGTTTGATCATTCTTTGATCAACGGAAGTTAATAACTTGATTTATTTTGATGAGTTTTTAAATCTTTCAATTATTTGTTTTTTTTTTAAATTTTCTGGATTGTATAATAGACAATATATATAATTTTAAGGAGATTTATTTATTAATTTTTTTTCTTTATATTTGTGTAAGTCTACTGATTTTCGTAGAGTTACAAACCAAAAGAAAAAAAACAACACACAAAATAAAAACTTTTAATGACAACACAAAATAAGGTCTAAAAAATGAATAAAAGATGTTAATAACTTTTTTACTTTGATGACCTTTCTAATATTTCAATTATTTGTTTTTAAACGTTTTCTAGATTGTATAAAAGACAATATATAATTTTAAATTTATTTTATTTTTAATTTTTTCTTTATACTTGTGTACTGATTTTTGTAGTTACAAACCATGTATAGAAAAGAAAATAAACAACACACAAAATATGAACTTTTAACGGCAAACACAAAATAAGTGCTAAAAAGAAATAGAAGGAGAGCCCTAAATCTGTCAGTTTATATAATTTTTGTAGCTTAACAGAAATAAATTATGTGACTTCTGCTGTCAGAACTACTTACGATCATCACTGAAATCATCAACTAATATAATTTCCTTGATTAAATGTGGTGGGCTTCTTCTTAAAACACTGCAAGACAAAAGACAATATAATTTATTTGAATTTTGTAAGAAGAAATTCAATTCTGATTAAAAAAGAAAATCAATTAATTCATTCATATTGAACTATTTCAAATTATTTGTAATGTTTGAATGTTTAGAAAAATCAATAAACATATTATTTAATGGAGTTTTTCAATTATTAATGTATTGAAAATACAATTATTGCCATTATAAACAATATGAAAGACGTTAAATAAAAAAAAAAAAAATGCTTAACTACAATATGTTTGTAGAATGAGGCATAAAAGAAAATTTTAGGACATAAACACAAATTACTAGCTTAAGAATTAATAGAAATATTATCGATTTTAATTTCAGAGCACACACTGCCAAGCATGACAAACCTGGGGCGGACTACAAATCGTTGTCTGTAGACGGTCTGCAATACTTAGCTTGCATTATTCGTCACGAAGCTGGAGGCTACAATTTGTATTATACGCAATGTGCTTTACCTTCTTTAACAAAAAAAAAAAGATGAGGATCTATAAAACTGATTTCCCATTTTAAAATGAGAACCCAATGTTTTGAAATACATGACCTACATAAAATATTAGATAGGAAAATAACCTTTTTGATTAAAACCACGTAAAATTGTAACTAGTTTTTTTTTCTGCTGATAAAGCTAAGCATACGCTTAGATAATTCTTTAATAGTTCTGCAACATGCTTACGTGCGAATGTGCATGACACAACGCTAAACAAATGTGTTAATACTATGTGCATTATGGTTAACAAAACAGTCGCTAAGACAGTCGTATAGCAATGGACTATCATAAGACTGTCTTTATATTACAGATGACTAAAATAAACCAGTTATGACTAGCTTTCGAAGACTACTGTATCTGCATCACACGTAGGTTATGAAGCCAATGGATATTTTTAATTAAATTTCAATAATTACAATTTTTTATTACATTGCTAATATTATATTGCTTTCTACATATAAAAGCATCTTCAATAAATTGATTTAATTGAATGATTGGTTAATTGTACAATAAAAATATATGGTTGATAAAATGGCCGTGTACAGTGACCACAAACATCATTATTTATTGCCACCTAAAAAACTTGAAGCAAATGATTTTAAAAAAAAAATCACAAAGCTATCATATTTCAATCAGTTACTATGAAAATAATTTAAATTGCTGGCAGAAATTCAAAGCAGGCTACAGAGGAAAACAATTTTTTGGTACGTTGTGGGATCCTTCTGGAGGTGAATTGGGAAGTACACCGGGAGACAATCCCCTACTCTTTTCTGAAGATTGTACTGCGTTCTTTAACAAGCACATGGGGCATAATGCACACAGAGGTACATTTATTTTTGTTGCTTGATGAAAAAAAAAGACTTGTTTATTTTTTTTATGCATGCAAATTTTGATCATACATTAATTTTCGCCTAATCATGTTTTATTTCCTTCTCCCAACAAGCATGGCTGCACGTCATATTTCAAAATACTGCCATCATAGTAGTTAATCAATATTTCATTAAGATATAGTTCAATTTTCATAAGCCTCACAATATTGTTTAATCGGATAATTATATATATTTATTTAAAATAATGGTATGCAAGATGTGTATAAGAGACAGATTACACATATTATTTATGTATTTTTCGTTTCAGATAAGAACACGAAATCATTGATTAAATAATTAACGATATTTCTACCACTATCGCATAGGCCTAGATAGCCCCTGAACATGTGCTGTTGGAAAAACCCAAACCAGGAAGTCGTTATATGTACACGACGGTCGGCTGCCTTTAGGTCTACTCTTAATCCTTGGTTGTCGTCAGCTTGCGTCCAACATGTACACTACCAGCTGACCGGCTGTCGTGAATATAGTGCTTTTGTAATGAAACTTGGTATTTTTGTTGCTCCCCTAGAAAAATTCAGGAGCGCTATTGATTGCTCTCCTCGCATAATTTCGAGGAGCGCGGAGGAGCGCCGGCGCGATCGCGCGCCTTTTAAATCAAGGTCTGAAAGACGGTGCGCTTTTTTAAAAACTTGCGTTTCCTCCAGCCGAAACACAAGGAGAGCAGCGATGGGAATTGAACCGGGAACAAAGAGATCTCCACGGTTCAGCGCACACACAGTGGCTACCACCAGTTTTGCCGATGCTCTCAGCCACTCTCACCTTTTCTTTTCCCTAGCTTTAAGGTCGGGTATGCAGGATTATAGAAATTGTACTATTTAGATGATAATTTGGGAGAACATTTCAGTTAAAATGTTATAACTTATGAAATATGCAAGTCAATTAACTTTGATTTATGTGGCACGTAACTTTGAGACCTACAGTAATTTACATTTAACAATTATAGGTTCCATGACATAAAGAAGCTGAAGTCATTAAATTGAAAGAATTCAAGGTCTAAGAAATAATTAAGATTTTGAAAACCTAATAAATTGAGAAACTACAGGGTACAAGAAATAATTAAGGATCTGTAGTTTTATGAGCCACAGGGTCTCGGAAATGATTTAAAGCTAAAAAATTGTAAGAACTGCAGAGTCTACAGCCTGCGATCAACAGCATAAAGAAAGATACACTAAAAACCAAAGTCCAATTGGAAAGAGCAATAATGAAATGGTACAGTACACTGAAAACGGAGGTTGAATCTTAAGCAATATTTACATATTAATCATTAAAAAATCATCTGTTACCTTAGTCATGACAATTACCAAATAGATTTCTTTACAGTATATTTGGTTGCTAGGGAAGCATATAGTTTAAAAGGGGCAAAAAACTGTTTTAATGACATACTGTAGTGCTCATCTAACACAACGGAAATGTGTACTGCATGTAGTCTTATGACTGCACTTGTATGAAATTTAATTTTTAACGTTCTTGTTTATCTAATTTTGATTTTTTTGATTTTTTAATTAATTATTATAAATTTAATTATTACTGTCACTGTTTAGGTCTTTGACTTTAGTTTGACTTTGTATCTGCTCTTTATGTGTATGTTATTCTGTTTTTGTTTTTTGTTTTTTTTAAATAAAATTGTATTGTCAATATTGTGACAATTCAGTGCTTGCACTGCAAGAACAATATGAATAAAACATGAATTTAAGTAAGATTTTTTTCTCATAATTAAAACAACTTTATTTACATGTCCAGAAAAAGATTCATACTTTCGTAAATGCAGAATATTGAATATATTCCTTTTTTACAAAAACAATTCTTTTTATTTATACCAAGAAGAATGGCGTGTTTCATAAGGCTATTTTCAAACCTTATTGATAGATTTGTAACATTATGCATGGATTTTAGCCCTGAAGTTAACAATTTTTTTGAATCAAGAAGATGGAGTTTTTGATGGTTGAAAACAGTCTGGAAATGTAAAATTTGGGATTTGATGAATCAATACATTTCTATACCTTCCAATGAACACCTCTAAAGTACTGTAATACATACAAGGTTATAATACTGCCATTCCCATATTCATCATGCTGGATTCTGACAGATTTGAGTATTTTAGGAAGGGAAATAATTTAAGTAATTACGACAAAGACATCGTAACATCCTGCTGCTTGTCACCACGTGTGCTGTCTCATGTGCGTCTAAGCTAAACGTTCACCTTGGCTTGATGTCATGCGGTGTCCTTAAGGGTCAGGGATAAATTTAAATAGGCATATTCAACGGAAATGCCAGTTTTAGTCTTAAGCTAATGTTACTATGTTTATGCACTGAGGCAATCCCATATTAGATTCAGTAATAATGCATACAGTACATCATGATCTTCAGCAACAGATGTATAGTGTGGATTTTGATAAGTACTAAACAACATTTAAAACATTTTTTTAAAAAGTCAAATCCATCTGACTCAAATATACTGTTATTTCTATGATTAAAATCAATACCGTTATTTTTAATGAATATGAAATGTAGACAATTAGAGTTACTCTCTGAATTTTAATGATCGATCAATTAATTTTTTATCTTTTTCATTAAAAAAAAAATCTATTCAAAGATTTTGGCGAAAAATCCAATTAGTCACTATAACAATCTTCATTTTTTAGTCTTTTTTTATTCTTTGAACTGATAAAAAAAATCCCCATCAAAAACAGAAAAAGATAATACAGGAAAAAAGTCTTCTAACATTTGAATTCTAGAGTGTCAATTTGTGCAAATTACTTATGAAAGCAATGACATATTGCTTTCCATAAGATAATTACAAAAAAAAAAGACAAGATCACGAAAGCAAGAAAGTAAAGATACAGTACGGTACCAAATATATATCATAAACCTACCCTTTTCCATATAAAATTAAGCATGGAAAGAAGCGGATACAGTAACCTTGAAAGCCCATATGTAGGCTACAGTATTTCAGAAGTGGTGCCCACCTGAATAGACCAAGCTAAAAACAAAGCTAATTACTTGAATGTAGATTATTTGTTAAGCTTTATTTACCCATTGGGCTCACGCAAGATCAGCATCAGTTCCTATTGGAATTGAATCAACCCACACTGCAGGCCATATTGTGCATTTTGCTCTTCTTGAATAAACTGATGCAAATTAATTTTTGCGGTTGAGTCCACTAATATTAATTGGACTACACAACGATACTAAGATGAGAGCATAAGCATCTACCATATGTGACATTATCTTAGATGATAAAAATCAAAAGTACTTGTAGAATAGAAATCACAAAAATTCGAACTCGAGATAAAGCTAGATGTACTGTGTGGCAGGCCTAAATTCGGCCAATGAATCCATCCTTGCTCCGTGCGAGCGCTTGACAACACGATGCCAATTTGCTGACAGTGTCAGCCTAATCGCATCATCACTGAAAGCAATCTGTTGCCACCTCGTAGTGTGTTGCAGTTTCCATGGTGATTGGGTGTTTATGGGATTAATGTGGAAATGACAAGTTCAGGTTTCAGTAAAGGCGGGGTCAATTGAAAAGGAATGTGACAATGTAAGTATGATAGAAAAAAAAAAGAACAGCAAGACGTATGGGCTGAAATGGGCAAGAATGTTGTGTCATAATTATAAAGAAGAAATTGACAGGGAGGAGAGAAAAGAATTGCAAGTTTTAACTTTCAAAGTATTTACTTATTTGTTATTTGGCATTTATATAGCGCCTTTCCTTTAGGTTACCAAGCGTTTTGTTTTCCCTGGTCATTGGGTCGATATGTTTTTTGTGTTGTTGCCATATTGGCGCAGTAGAAGGCAACCCTACAGTTACCTGGTACCCATTTATACTTCTGGGTAGAGAGTGCAACGCAGATAAAGTGTCTTACTCAAGGAAACAAGCGAAGTTCACGAGGGATTAAAAACCCACCTCAAGTTTGGGAAACCAAACCCTTCCCGCTTCGCCCAAACCGCTTCAAAAGTAAAGTAAGAAACAATGATAACTACTTATTAGCAATACCATACTTTGCAAATGACTTTAAATTGGCTACGAACCAAATTAGATTTTCGTAAAACATCTGAATAATTGAATCGATCAAACAGTTCTACAGTTATTGTGAATATTAATTACAAGGTAGTATTACAAAGTTTCCATTTGTAGGTTGTTATATTGGGACATTTTGAAATCTTAATATGACAGTAGGCAGTTATCAATCAAAAAACATTTCTACAATCATTGTAAATATTAATTACAAAGAATTGTTGATACAAAGTTTCCATCTGTAGGTTGTTTGAATACTGTACTGAGATATTGTGAAATATTATAATATAATAACAGTAGGCAATTATCAATCAAAAAGCAATGGCAGTGTTATTAAATCACTTTTGCATGATTGATTAATGCAATCAGTTGACATCTAGTGGCATGGTACCTGTGTGTTGAGGTATTTGATGTGTACCTAGGCCATCAACATGCCTGTAATCATCACATGGATGGCCCTTTCTCACATACCTGTACTTTAAAGTTTTGTTTTTGCATTTCATAACAAAACGATTATTATGAATTACTATATTATGATAATGATTTTATTCATTCAATTAATGGATATTTTGGTATGTGACCTACAATACTGGAAATAAAAATGCTTATGAGGATCTCTTAAATAAGCAATTCAAAGTACATAGATTTTTAATTTTTTTTTCTTTATTCAAGTTTATCAAAATAAATTAACTAAATTAATATCTGTATCTTACCATCACAAAGCCTATCAACAAGGCTGGTAAAGCTTATCAACAAGGCTACTAATTCTGTATAAAGTTTACTAAAAAGAATCTATTTATAGAAACTAAATATTATTAAAAGGTTAGAGTTTAAATCTCAGTTCTCAAATTCATTTTTTATTGGAATTTCAACTACTTAATTTATGTTCTCTTTAAAACCCAGGAGAATAAATATTGAATTGAATGTATACAATGTTGAATGTATGTCTGGTGTACAATGCCAACCCGACAGCTACTAGGAATACTACAATCACAAGGGACCTATAACGCAATTGCACATTGTGTGTGTTTGCCAAAATACATCTTAATGATTAGAGAAAATAATTTTACAGTTGCTTTATACTTTCCACAGACTGCCAAGATAAACCTAGAATTATATTAAATTATAATCTTGGAATTATGTGAAATTAGGCTATTTCAATAGCATAAATATAAAAGTTTAAAGAAAGCGAGCAGCTTAGCTCATTTGAATTAACTGGAGGTAGCCATTTGCGTGCACCGAACTAAAGAATGTCTAAGAACGTAGTACGCTTTTGGCAGTGACAATCTAGTGTGTTGGACTGAGAACGCACACTCTCTCCAATAAATGTTTGCGCTCCCACAGTCACCCTCTACTGAAAGTTTTCAAAGAAAAAAAAAATAAGCTCAAGTAGTTAAAAATAACCCTAAATATCACTGTACTTTCCAGCTAGCTCTCCTCAATTAATCTAGAACTCAAACTTTTTGTGCCCCCCCCCACTATTAGTTCCGATTTTATGACCCCTGTGTACACTACTGAAACTATTTCGATGGTATAATTAGGAGATTGTTTCCCAATGTACAGTACTTGCCCGTTTCACCACCCAAGAGGACACCACTAGTCTTTTCTGGGTTATCATCGGTGTAATAAATGTAATTTTATAAGGCGCTCGTATCCATCTTAGGTAGCTGCTTGTGGTGCCATTTCCACTTGCTGAGGGCAACCTTTCATGCATTTTATGAATTTCATAAATTTTTAAATTTATTTTTTATTTATTTCACCTTGAATAAATGCAAAGAAAAAAAACTGGTAAATATTACCTAGAAAAAAAAGAGAAGAAATTTTAATGTGTTTTATATGCCCAAGGTATGGTTAAATATACTGTAACGACAGAACAAAAAAAAATAAATAAAAAGGCACACAACTTGGTTAATGAATGGTAACAAAATACCCCCAGGTATGCTAGCAATAGAGGTTCTGATACTGAAACCGCCCAAGAGTTACGCTGTGCTAATGGTGAAGGTGTCGTATGGCTGAAAATTTTTTCTGGGACAAGATAATCTCATGCCCTTGGGGGACACCTAAATAGTGAAGGGACAGAAGTTCAATCTTTAGATAATCAATTTCCTCTTTGACAGGTTCTAAAATTGCTAGAAACTGTTCTATTAAATTTTAGGAATGTTTGTATGAAAGTTAAAATAAGAATATAATATATTTTGAAAGATAATATTTTATTTTGATATAGTACATTAATCATTGACTACGTATCCCGAGCAAGAAAATGCACGTCAAATTAAAAATCTACCGAGCTCTCACCAACGGAAATGGTGGCCAAACCCAGCTCTTTCTACAAGGCAGTGTTTTAAAGATAAAATACTCCACATAATGCAGCATTATGGCAAATCTGTAAAAAACATGTCTGCCTCCAACAATGAAGATTTATCCTTATAATTAAAGCCTCCAGCACCACCATTACTGTGCGATCTGCCGCTGGTCGTACAGTACCGCATTTTCTACAACACATGTACACTGGACGTCTGTTTATAGTGCCATGCAGTTACTGGTAATACAAAATATAGATTCAAGTATGTACTCACCTGACAACTGTCCGTAAAAGTGCTGATCTAGCTTCATTGTGGAAAGTAATAATGACACTAGTGGCAGGTAAAGAATCTACATTCCAATTTAGTGATCTACATCTATAAAACAAAACAAAAAATGAAGGAAAGTTAAGAAAAATAGAAGATATTATAATTAAAATATTGATATAATTACATAATATTAGTAAAAGTCAAGTTACAATACTGATTTAACTCAAGTCACAAGCACTGATAAATTCACTTAAGTTAAGTGTTGGTAAAGTCAAATAAGTTAAAATATTGATATAAAACTCACTGAAATTAAAAAAAACTGGTAAAGTCACTCATAATGTCAAAATACTGATAAAATCACTAAAGCTAAAATACTAATAAAACAACTTAAGTTGAAATACTAATAAAGTCACTTAACCCTTTGTACCCTGCATTATTTACATCTTGCAGCACCCTCACCCGGAGTTATTTGGACAAAATATGCTTATTTTTTATTATCATCACCACCACCTCCTAGGCCCTGTACCGCTACCATAGCCATCCATCAACCCGACGCACAACTATCATCACTACCACTGCTGGCACTAGTCACTGTCGTGATCGGCCTAGCCTAGGGCTAGAAACTCACTAGTGATAGTGAGGTAAACAGTGTAGTTTCTCATACTGGTCAGGTGATTACCCCGAATAACGTCACCTGACCCGCAAAGCCGGTATACCGGCCTTTAGGGTTATTACAGCGTAAGCGCGCGGCCGTTTTTCCGGCCTTTTGGGTTCAAAGGGTTAAGTAAAAATACTGATATACTTAAATATTGGTAAAGTGTGTCTTTGATGAAATTAAACATTTTTCATAGCAGTCGGAACTATTTTGCAAGTGGTCTGGCTATTATAGCAAGAGTGGTATATTTGGCTGTGAAATTGACCCGCTACCCCTATCATTGGACACAGGATTTTAAAGGTAGTGGGATCTGAGAGCATATCCACCCCAGCCCCCACCATGGTTGGGGCTGAGGTGCAGATATTTGGAAGTATGGCACCTCTGGATGCCCGGAAATAGCAGCCGACAAACCTATGGAGTCTCTACCCCTCCGCATTCTGCTGAGACAAGATTTAAAGCACCTCAGCCCCATCATTGGGCTGACGTGAGGTTCCGAGGGACCCTGGTTCGAGAGTGGATCTACAGTTGTAGCCCTTTACGCATAAGTTGGCCGATCAGGCAAAAAAAGCTTATACAGTTTATAATTACTCTGTTACTGAAGTCCTTCCATCCATAGTAAAACTATTCCCCTTTGAACACCATTCGTACCTGTATATTTCTGAGTCAAGAATTCGGGGCCAGAAAAATTATATTTATGAAAAGGGATTATTTACTTTATTTATTTTCTATTTTACTGTAAAGTAATATAGTACCCTGTTTGATAACATTCTAGTATTCCCGAGTCTAGTTTCGGGGTAGGCCAGAATATTGATTACTAGGCCTAATTGTAGTATTATACAGATACCTGTAAAGCTAAGCAACAGTGCATTGTGCAAAGCAGTGTATTGAGATATATATAAAATATGCAATAAAACATAAGTTATGAAGACAGGATGCAATATGCAAATTGCTATGCATTATCTTTGGAAATACCGTAAAACCTCTAATACTGTAACCATAGGCGTAGATCCGGGGGGATGGGGGATATATCCCCCCAATATTTGACAAGGGGGGGGGATGGTCCATTGTATCATCCCCCCCCCAATATTTGGACTATGTATGGGATATCTATATGTCCTGATTATTTATATTGCTTGTTATGTTGTAAATTTGTTAATGTTTATGTCTTTCTGAATGTTCAATTCCTTAATTTGTACATATATTAAAATAATTTTATAAATAATTTGTACAGTAATAATAATTTGAATCTTAATTGAAATAACTAATAATTTTATAAATAATGTATTTTTAACGTTTTCACAATTCAGTTCTGTGAACTGCCAGAAATGTTTTTTTTAATGTATTTTGACTTTGTTTATGAATAAAAGATACCTTGATATAAAATGGAGCTTTACACACTTCAAAAGACTGGCACAGAAATAATTTACACTGTCTTATGCGCTTACAAAGATGGAAATTAGCATAATGTATTAATGTTGATAACAAAATTATTTTATCTGGTACCAATCTAAGCTCTTCTTTCCTTAGATGTTAGATGTGCTTGCAAAGAGAGCCACATTTCACACTGAAGGGTGTGTACGACATCAGTTATGTT